CCCACCCCCACGCCCACAGAGGCCCTTCTCCCCGCAGGAATGCAGTTCCAAACCCTAGAGAGGAAAACGAGCTTTCCCCCACTCCCCGAAAGGGACCCGAGGGACGGGATGAAGGACTCAACCCCCTCTCCATGCAGCCCCTCGAAGCTCCTCCACACCCCCCCAGAACACCAGCCTTCTTTTCCTAAAGAAGAGAAACCCAGCGCCGCCGCCTTCTAGAACCCGAGGAGAAGTTCCTCACTCACAGCGCGGGGCAGAGAACAGGCACCTCCCAGGCCCCAGCAGAGCTCGCCGGCCTCCGCGCCGACGCCGCCGACTGCTCCGGCCCCGCCCTCCTCCCCCCGAGGGCCTTCAGGTGCCCAGACGGGGCGGGGCTTCGCGGAGCCTCCTGACGCAGGTGCCGTCTCCCGGCAACATTCAGTTGCGTGGCATCGGCCAATGGGAAAGAGCGCGGGGCCGCAGTTTGAAAGTAAACGGCCGACAGCGCCCGCGGAGGCGAGGGCGTGGTCGCCAGGGATTGGCTGAGGCCGGGCCAGCTGTCCGCGCCTGCGCACTCGGTGCGGGCCGCTCCCGGGAGCTCGGGCGGCGCGCTGCAGTGGGGGCTTCAGGGTGTGGGGGCGCTTCCGGTACTACGGAGCTGGGCTGGGGTCTCTTTTCCGGAACCTTGATGGCGCCAATGGCCCGGGGAGAAGTGGAGCCAAGCGGCGACCGACGATTCATACAAGAACGATTCATAGGACTATTTTTTCCATGGAGCCTTGGGCTGCCGTGGCTTCCTCACGGGTTCCCACTTGGAAAACCTCCACCCTCCCTGAGGGCACACGCCCCCCAGGGGGCACCTCAAACTGCTGTGCACCTGAAACTGCCCCTGAGCGCGGCGCCTTCTGTTTGCGGAACCTGGACGCCTGGCGCTGCCGGCTATGGGCTGAGCGTGGGACGAGGCGGCTGTGACTCCAGAATTCCCTTGTCCGCCAAGAGAACTGACCCAGCGCGAGCTCGCGGGGCCTTAGGACTGTCGGGCGATAACCCTGGTCCTCTCCCCCCTCCCCCCGTGCATTTCCACTTTATGAAGTTCCCGCCTAGAGGTGACGACTGTGGCACAGAATTCGTGTCTTACGGGTCCGTTTCTTTACCAAGTTGCTCTTTCACCTTAACCCCCTCGGATCAGAAAACACGCGCGTCTCCAAGCGCGTGGGTCCCCTTTGCTCTTGAGAAACCTGCCCCGGCCGTGTCGGGACGCGCACCATGGCCGCCCTCTGAACGATGCGAAAGCCCCTCAGCACGGAGCTGGGTCAAACCGCGCGCTGCGGTGCTGTGTCGCCGGCACGCTCCGGTCTCAAGGTCTACACGGTGAGTTACAGGAAAGCATTAGACAGCGTGGACCAGGCCCGTCCGCGAGGCTTCCCCAGCTCGGGTGCTGAAGAAGCTCCCCCGAGGCGTGGGCTCCGGGGACACCCGCTGCCACACGGCGGCCTGTGAACGTTTCGACGTTTTTACGCACATGCGTTTTCTGTTGAAACATTAGAGTCTTCCAGATCCACAGCTTAGCTTGTCCAAGCAGCACGTGGTGAAGGGCTCCATACCACTCCGCGCGGTCGACATCTGTAGGATTATTCCCCCTCCCCCCCCACACACACACCCCCCCACAGCATCACTGTGAAGGTCAACATGGGCTTTGGAGGACCGTGAGGTCAACGGCGGTTCATCACTCCTTACAAGGGACCCCTCTGGTGGGGAATGTTAGTGATGGGGGAGGCTATGCATTTGGGAGGGGCAGGACCTACATGGGAAATCTCTACACCCTCCCCTCAGTTTTGCCAGGAACGTAAAACTGCTGAGAAAAACCTTAATTTAAAAGTTTAAGTGTAAATTGCCTCTGGAATGAAGGAACATGGCTGAATAGCGCTTTGAATTCTCATTTTTTTCCACCTGTGTTTTTCCCGTCTGTGCTTCCTTGCCTAAAAAGAGTTGTGTGCGTAGCAAGAAGGCAGAAATAGCTTTCACTGGATTTAACTGGCTTTTGTTTTCCAAAAAGCCTCAGTCTATTGAGGAAAATAACATTTAAAGGAAGAGACTGAATGTTCAGGAGAAGCAGAGGTCTAATCGCTCCAAAACAGAGATTACCCAGGTCCTCATGAAGGGAGCGATGACACCTGAAAGGAAGGGCTGTGCCTGTTCCTACAGGGAGACTGGTTTCGAGGTCCCTGGGTTCCCGACTTTGCAAAATATTCCTGGACCTCAGCATGACCCAGAAGTGCCAGAGAGCTAGCTGCAGGAACCTACAAAAGCAGCCTCATTGGGGACAGTCATACTTAGGTTTGTGAGCTGTGACTCATGCGCTCTACTGAAGATAGTGCTGGCCTGGGAAGGTTGGACGGAAGAAGCAACGTTCAGATTCAGAAGTGCATGCCTAAAATCCACAAGCTTAGAAATCGGAGGCGCTACGGGGCTCAGCTACCAAGAAAATGGTGGGTCTCCCTACAGACTTGCACCATCGCCTTTCAACAGATTATAGGAAAAGGAAAAAGAATATAAACTTTTTCAGTTATTAGGTTAATATGAAGAGGTAATAAAATGTGAATTTTATGACGAACGTGGGTGCTCAGGTCAGACTCCCTGCTTAGACGTTCTCTGTCTCAAGCACCAAAACAGGAGGCCTCAGAGAAGTGCCCTGTAGAGAAGCTAGAACGCTGATTCGGACTTGTAATAGCTACAAAAGTTTAAGCCCCACTGTGTTTTCTCCCATCGCAGTGGCCCCAACAGAATTATAATAAAAAGAACACATGGCCGTGGACTGTGTGGCTCACTTGGTTAGGCATCGCCCGGTGCACCGAGGGGTTGCCGGTTCTGTTCCCAGTCAGGGCACATGCCTGGGTTGCAGGCTCAATCCCTGGTGCGGGCCATTTGGGAGGCAGCAGATCTATGTTCCTTTCTCTCTCCCTCTCCCTTTCTCTCTAAAAATCAATTTTAAAAACACACAACAATTATCAGTATATCTCTGTGACATTTCTCTCAGATCTCAGGCACAAGAAGTTTTTCCCAGCTAGACTAAGCTTCCCATAGCTATAAAAGCTACATAATTATATCTATTTGTGGCCGACTGCTAAGGTATTAGTTCTGAATCTTAGATTCGAACTGATTTCCTCCTTTCTAGGCCAAAGACATTACTTTTCCTCAGATGGCTTTTCTATGAGAAATTTTAGTTGCAGCGTCAGTACAAGATATCAAATACAGAAATGAACCGTAAGGCAGAGCAATCTGAGAAACGGGTGGAATAGAGGGGCTTTGAGAACTAGCAAGGGAGTTCTAACCTCTCACCGTCAGAGGTGTGCAGGGTTGGGGAGAGGATTCATGAGGAGGACTCCCTCTGGGGAGGGTTGTGAGGGTGCTCTCAGTCCTGCCTCTTGCCCAGTGTCTGCCCCTCCCGTCAGGCCTAGTGAGAAGGGCTCAGCTGTGTCTGCCCTGCACTGGAGGGACTGAGTGAACTGGCATGCGCTAAATTCTCAGGAAATCTAAGATGTGACACCCAGAATGAAGAATTGCTTCTGCACTGGGACTTGCCTGCATTGCCAGAGTTGGTGGGCCCTGAGGAATAATGAGTGTCCCAAAGAGCAGATGAGTCCCCGTGGGGCTGCCCAAGCGTGCTGACTAGAGGGTCAAACAGGCCTCGGCAGAGAAACCCTGAAAGTACCCTAGCACACCTAGAGAGGAGGCAGAAAGAGTAAACAAGGAGTGAACACGCTGCAGGTGAGGAGTCCCAGGCACAGACTTTTCCTATTCTCCACCCTCTGCCCAGTGCAGGAGGGATGAGAAAGGCCCTGTGGCTGGAGGTGGGGGTGGGTGGAGAGGAAGGAATTTAGGAAGACGGCTAACCCTGTACCTTCCCCGGGAGTCAGCAACCCTCAGGAAGCAGGCCTTATCTGTAGGAAAGAGAGTAGCTCTAGTTTCACATGAAGT